TAAGAATGTACGTATTAACTTAAAACCTCAACTTAAAAGTTTGTCATTGGGACTGCTGGTGGAGTCTCATAAGTGTACTGTGAGTGATCTTTCAGGGGACATCCATATCGGTTTTGCATCAAAACGAAAGCGATTCACACATGAGAACATGATTTTTCCAGCACTACAGTGAGACACACACACAGCTTTTACTTTGAAAGCAAGTTGAAAAATTGCTAATTAATTGCATATTTTAAAGTGTATTACAAACAGCTGATTTTCCAGGATGCGTTAAAATAGTCCGTAGAAGAAAAACTTAGCAATCCTTTAACCAAGCACTTCAAATAAGTGTGGTAAGTACGGCTGATATTGAAAGGGATTTTGAGGCAGAGTTCACAGATGGGAACGCTTACCTGGCTGAGGCCACTGGGACTCGTGCCATTTTCTCCCGTTCACTCTATTTTTACTTTTGGCTGGGAGCTGGTTGTCAGTGTAATGAATACAGCCTTCACAAACATGTGCGTAGATGATAAGCAAAGGGAACTAAAATAGAGTATTTTAGCGTTTAGTGGAATAAAATCAGACAGCGCCGTGCATCCTTGTTTCAGTGTAGACATCTGGGTAGACGTGTGCAGCTCTTGGGCTGTTTGGATGGGCAAAGTTCTCTGGGTGCCATTGGTAAGTTAATGTTGGTGTTGGTGCAGACGTCCAGACGAAGGTGAACCATTTTGGTTTACCACTTTCTCAAAAGGAGGGGAGAACTTTTTGTCTTTTCCAACTGATTTATATAAAAGATAGATTGAGTGGCATTCTCACTTGGTGCAAATAACCAGTTTGGTAATGACTTAGCCCCGGTACTTTTGAGTGAAAATTTGGTCAACCATTAAAATGCAATTGTGCTTAAGGTATAACTCTGGAGTTTCTGTGAGTCATTATCATGAGTAGGAGGGCAGTGCTGACTGGTTCAATGTGGGTTACTCTGTGTGTGTGTGTGTGTGTGTGTGTGTGTGTGTGTGTGTGCTGCATCACAGCTTTGCCGGGAGGAGGAAGGGACAGGGGGACAAGGTAGGGCCTGCAGTGGCCCTTTGGGAAATCCCATGTTACTGGAATGTGGAACACTAAAAGTTATTGCTTGTAATAGGTATGGCAGTGTGCTTATCTGAAATCATCAAAGGCTGTAAGTGTGTTTATGTACACGAGGCATACCTGATGGGTTCTGTAGCCAGCTGTGTGTGCTCTGGATACGGCGGTGGAAGAAATTTCATGTCTGTGTGGGACTGCGACCGTTGAAACAATCATTACTGAAACCATACACCTTATTTCCTGTTACTAATAGCAGTCCTCTACCTATGGAATATATTAACAGTTATTCCCTTGGTTTTGGATTGTTGCTCAACTATTTGGTTGGACAGATACTTAAACGCGATCTGTAATTTATGTTGTCTGAATACGTCAATGAGCAGAGCTCATTATGGCTTCCTGATGCGAGCTGTGCTGATGTTTGTGAAACCACACTTCTGTCTGTCAGGCAGAGCAGAAGTACGGTCCTTAATAAATCATGGAAAATGACGAGCTTTCGCTACCTAGGCTGGTGAACAGAAATACTTGGTTGGTGTTTACCTAGAGCTTCAAACAAAGCAGTGGTTCAGTGGTTTCTGTGACTGCTTGAACAGTTAATTCTTCCATGCCATTTAAATAAATATTTATTGCTCTTTACAGGATAGATTTTTTTTGTATTAAAAACTGTTGGGGTCAAACAGCAGCAGCCCATTTAGGGACCTGCAGTGCCTCCACCACATGACTTTTGGCATTATTATCACAGAGTGGGATGTTCCTATTCCAGCCAGTTTTTCCCCAACGTCTGCCCTGAATACTGAGCTCCATCCTGCATACATGATGCTTGCACAGAGGCATTTTTTGGACACGGCAGTGCTGTGCTTCTGGGGCCTGGGCTGAGCTGCTGGCTCAGAGCAGAGGAAGCCCTGTAATGGGGAAAGGAAAGCAGATATGTTTTTCTAATATTTGTTGTTTTCTTTGAAATGAGTAAAAGAATACCTGGAGTGATTTATGTTTAATTGAGGATCGCATTCCATCAGATACGGTGAACGTTCTCAGGCCATTTATCATCTGTGTCTTTTCGAGACCTCTGAGGAGTATATAGGAGATATTTACCTTAACTTGGCTAGGTCAAGGGAAATAAAGTAGAAATAATAGATGTTATTTTTGTATGTGAACAAAACTGGAAGTCGTGTGGATGAAATATGGGGTAAATGGCTGTGTCCTACCTCCTCTGTGACTTTTTAAATACCAGGAATTATTAGTTCTATATAATATAATTTCCTTTGCATTATCAGTGTATGTTTTTAAAGCACACGATTTAGTGGCTGGCATTTTTATTGTTCCAGATTAGTCAACTCCCGCAGTAAGCACGGTGTGTATTGTGTTGCCATGACTGTTCAGTAGTTTCATATTTAAGTAGCATCTTAAAAAACAGACAAACAAAAACCAGCCAACAAGGCCATCTACTGCACTTCAAGTAACATTTCTACTAAATGTATGTGGCTGGTAGCGCACGTAGGTTGTGTGACACCAGAATCACACAAGTGCTGGTGAGGATTTTCATGAGCAGTACCTACATTTTGGGGTGAGGAAGGGGTTTGTAAGAGCCCTCGAGCTTTAGACCTGAGAAATTTGCTCATGGCTATTTTTCACTTGTGTGTTGCTGCTGGTGTGGGACCTCCAGGTGCCACTCTGCCTCGTGCAGCCAAAACTACCTCCATACTGGTATACTCCATGCAATCCTACTGTGCATCCAAGCTTGAACCGAAATTCTCACCGCCAACAGCCAAAAGGAATTTGTTGTACGGCGAACTCTTTCGTAACGTTTGCAAAATGCGTTTTAATTACCTTTTATTAAAGGTAAAAGGGTGAGTGCAATGTAACCTAAATGTTAGGGTCTGTAAGAAGGAGGGAAACCTGAGAGCTGAACGCATCTTTTCCTGTCCCAGGGAGGAACAAACAGTGAAAACTGCTGCGAAATAGAATCGAGAGCACATTGTTGATTCAGCTAAAACTAGCGATAAGGGCTGGTTTCAGAACCAGTCTGGGGGAGTGCAGCTTGATCAGATATTTCATGAACAAATTATTACTGATACCACTGATTGGCAAATTCAGCGCAGCTCATTCTCACTCAGTGGCACTTTCAGACTTCTCTGTGCCCCCTTTTTGAATTTGCAAAACGCTTCCCTCTGATCCTTTGAGTTAAAGTTACGGCGACGTTTGATGACGAGCATAGCATGATTAATTACCAATGAATAGCGCATATTCCAACACAGCTTGTGTTTTTCTCGCAGTTATTACCCTGCAGGTTCCAAAAGGGCTTTGGAGTAGGGATTATGATTTCAGTTACATCATTGTGAATTCAGAAAACGCCAGTGATTTCAAAAGTGTGATTCTGAAATTAGGTCAGTGGAAAAGAGATCAGAATCTGCCTTGCTACCTGCAAAGTAGCAAACTCCAAAAGAGAGAGAATTCACTGCTTCCAAACAACAGTTTTGTTTTTATTTTTTTTTCTTTTGAAAGAAATGTTTGTTTAAAAAAAATAATTTTACTTGAAACAGTGTAGGAAAGTGAGTAATAGAACAAATTATAACCTGAATCCAGGCTGGATTGTGACAGGAAAGAGCACAGAACGAATGCTTTCCTTCTTACTATTTGATCTGTATTGACCCAGGAGTTTGACATCTCTGTTGCACAGTGATGGGCCAATGACTCAAAACTACTATCTAGAGATTTCTTATATTTTGTCCTCTAATTATGTTTCTTCAGTATTCGGATTTCTGTTGCTGGCTAGTTGATCTTTTGACGACTGCAGTGCACTTTAGTTTTTTTTTCCGTTTGTTTTCTGAGATCTGATAACAAAATACTTCCTGCTCTCAGAGATTGGACTTTTCCAACCTGACACCACTAGAAATGGCAGGGACACAGAACAGACGTGGTGTCCTGCAATAGGCAGCATCAACCATGGAGCCCAGGCACCGAGTCAGCAGGGAGTGAACACCGTGGTCCTCCCTGGTGAGAAGGAATTGATTGGACAGGTTTCATGGATGGTGAATGATCTTCAGAGTTTGGTTTGCGACCTTTTTTATTTGGCGGTGTTGGTCAAAGCTTCTACAAAGCAGATTTTTGGTACCCCAAGTCTGTGACTCATGAAACCTGAGCAACAGTCATCTTTCCCTTCACTTTGGGCAACGTGTTTTGCTTCCTGTTTGTCAGCAGCCCCGCGCTTGCATGTGACAGCTTCCTTAAGTCTGCAGAGCTGTTCTCTTCCAGTGTTGGAGCACTGAAGAACAGCAGCATGGTTTGCATCTCCTCTGGGTTTGAGGTGCACTGCTCCAGGGATGAGAGAGTCCTGAGGTCCTTGGGTTGCTCTCAGACGTTCCTCTGAGCTCAGGTAGCCAAAGCACTTGCTAATAATGGCAGAAATGTATTTGAGTTGTTCTTCAGTTTTATCTACCTCCAATGAAAGAAATAAAGCTATATAAAAACAAAGGCATTTTATGAGCATACCCCAAACCTGTTGAGGAATGATGCATTTACAAGTCCACAAAGTGAAGCTACCTTTAAATACCCTGATTGAAAACAAAGCAAAAAATACAGTATTTGTAAGTCCTGCATATTTTAGTTCCCTTAACATTTCAAGTTATACGTTAAGAGTTGAAGCAAATAGGTGTGATAGTTTTGCCACTAATTTGTAATTGTTCTGAAGTAAATCCATTAACTTAATATGAAGGGATTCATTTCGGGTAAAGAATGAAGATGCTGGTAGACCTTGTAGTAGTTTTTGCTTTTTTTAACATCCTTAACCAACCAACCAACCCAAATACTGTGCATTTCTAAAGTAAATTATTTCTCTTTTGTCCTTTTCAGATTTCAGACAGAGCTGAAGCAGTGGGAAAATGAGTGTTCTTCTCATTGAGGCTTTTTATGGTGGTTCTCACAAACAGCTGATGGATCTTCTTCAAGAAGAGCTGAAAGAAGAATGTGTCATCTGTACACTCCCTGCCAAGAAGTGGCATTGGAAAGCACGGACTGCTGCTCTTTACTTCATGCAAACGGTGCCAGCAAGTGCTGATTACAGGTAACCCAGGAGCTGGGTAAACTCAAATGGCAGGGAGGCCTTAAGCTGCAGTTTCAGTTGTCTGTATGCAAATGTGGATTCACAGGGACTAGCAAATAGGGACTAGCAGTGGGCTTTAAGAAGTTTATCACATTGCACTGACTTCTTTGGGTGTAAATATGGGAAATCTCTACAGTGATTTAGAATATCTTAAAATACTTCAGCTTACATTGTTTGTCCTTGAAAGTCTCTAAGAATGTACATATATATAGATGCCTACTTGTTTAAAGATGTATATGTACATTTTATTTTAAATTTATTAAGTGAATTTAAAACTAAGGGAATATTTAAACTGTTTCACAGATGAGGTTGAAAGATTGCATGGTTGTGATCACTGCAAGCTTCCTCACCTTCATGTACCTTCCCAGTTACCTGTTAGCAAGTCTGATTTATCACTGCATTACTCAGGCTGACCTAGAGGATTAAGGGTTCAGTTTCATCTTAATGATTGTCCAGTTCTGTAATGTGCCAGCACCTATGGATGTCTTTTATGCATATAGGTAAGAAGCGAAGCTCTGTCTGCTAGAACCTGGACTGATAAAAGCAGACTACTTAGGTCAACAGATAGCTATCTCATAGTGAGAATCAGTCACTCCAGAACCAAGATATCTTTAGAGCAGCAATGGTGCTTGGCCTACCTGATCAGCAGAGATGTGGTGAGATGACTGGCAGGCAGTGAAGCAACATGTAGTTAATTGTATGAGTACCTGGCTCACCGTGTGCCTTCATGGAGAGGGACTCCTCATGCCCTGGGATGTTATAGCACAAGCATCTGCTTTTCAGCCACGGGATGAACTTCAGCAGGACCCCAGGTGCACCTAGGTGATGTGCCAACTGGATATTCTTTAGAGCTGGGATTGGTATTTTTAACTCCAGATTGGAGCCAGGAGAGGTAATGGACGGGGGAAGGAGCACAATCTTTTCAAGAATAGATCTTGTGCTGTAGAAGGCTGTGTTTGAACAATGTATAATCTGCCTTGGAATGCCATATAAATGTACACCTTTTCTCTTCCAGCTTGCATTTCAAATAAGCTGCCATCCCAAGCCAAATATTCTATTCTTCCCATTTGTCTTGTTCGAGGCATTTAGTGTTGGTTTCTTATTGCTTCCCTTTTGCAACAATTTTGTTTTGGAGGAGTATATATGACAAACTGTTATGTAAATTTGTCTTGTATCACAACCACATCCTCCAACGCATCGCAATGTTATCTGTGTTCCTTCAAGGTCAGCAGCCCAAGCTGTCCAGCACTAACTGTATTAAACTAATCAGACATCACTCATAGACATACACTTCATTAGTTTAACTTACAGTTACATTGACCCAAGATAACTTGACTCCAATTTGTCAAGTAACCCACATCTTGGGAAAGGGAGGGAAATGATGGGGGGGGAAAAAAACCAAACAAACCAGCAATGAGAAAAAAAACACCCAAAAAAAACAAAAAACAAAAAGGAAAGAAAAAAGAAAAAAACCAACAACCCAGCAGCTTGAAAACTCACTTGAAGTTAATAAACTTGCAATCTGTCATAGACTTATGTGCAAATATAACCTTTACTGACAACAAATAAATCTGATCTAACCAATGGAGCATCTTAAGGAGAGGAAAGCTTTTTCTGTGCTGTTGCTGGTAGTGTTTGATCAGACAGAATCAAATAGTCAAAGTTCACAAAAATGCAGTGTTTAACGTGGGTGTGCACCTTATCCACATGTGCAGGTTTTGGGCTGATACGACTGATGAGAGCAAAACTGGTTCAGAAGTACCCTCTATGACTTTCCCTGCACATTTTTAATGTTTGTTTGTAATTGAATGTTTCAAGTCCTTTTTAAATTGAAAGTATAAATGCATCAACCTAATGAAGCTGACTACATTCTCCTACAAGAAAAATCATTGATTAAAATTAACATTGTTTTATATCTAGCTTACTGGTAAGCATTTAAGATCTGCTTCCCAGGCAGTAGCTGCTTGTGAAGATGAAGTTATCAAACTGGCAGGAGTGTATGTTTTGAACTGCACATTTAAATATTTAAACCTTCTTGTGAGGTAGTGGGAAATATCAAATCTACATTATTTACATTATTGACTTTATTTGTAGAACAAAAGATTTCTCTTCCAAGCGATGTTTTTAAAATATGACATTTCATAAATACCTTGTTTCTGTTTGTGCATTTAATAATACAGAAAGGTCAGAGATATCTCAAGTGCAAACTGTTGGTAACTGAGCAGTGTTAGTGAATTTTTGTTTCTCCAGCTGTACTTAATTTCAGGACACCGTGTGAGAAATAATACTGATGCTGACAAGTCTGATAATATTGCTGTGTGTGTACGCAGCAGATGGCTGTATGTCTTCCTTTTAAAAGGTAGATAGTGGTGTGTATATAAGGTAGTAGGGGAAGGAGGCAGGCTTGTTCTTTTTTGAGTGAACTTCAGCATGCTGTTCAGCCTTAAAAAGTGCTTTTGAAGCAGAACATGAGCTGAAGAGTAATAGATGTTCAATTGAGATACTCTGCAGTGACCAGTGAGTTTGTGATGAACTTGCAAATACTTGCTTATCGGAGAGCAGGCACGTACTCCCTGGAGCAAGGCTTGGGGCTGCATTGCCAAAAGCTTTCCTGAATTGCCATGCAGGTAATTCAGGTGATTTTCCATTTGTGGTACAACTGCAACTTTCCAGAGCATCCTCCTTGGCCTGGTCGGAAAAACATAGCAATCAACATGGCACACTGGGAAAAAAGCACATTTTTTTGGGAGAGGCTGTTCTCTACAGAAAATGTAGTTCAAATGCAAGCTAGCGGTATGAGATTTAGATTGGCAAAGCAGAAAGGCTGAAGTGCAGCGTAGCTTCTAGTTTGGTTTAATAGCACTGCTGGATTATTTGCAAAAAACCCTACATATATAAATATTATGTGTTACATTCAGTACTGCCCCCCAGGTAGCTGTTCATATGAATAAAGATTTTATTTGTAACAAACTCTTGCCCTGAAATACCCCTCGGGTAAATGTTAGTATATATATACCGCTGATATTTGACAACTGTATTTTAAAGACAAACTCTGTGCTTTTTGCGTTTTATGGAAGAGAAAAAGTAAATAAATCGTTGTTTCAATTAATAGAGCTCTGAGAAGGAATCTGAGGAGTGTGCTGAGGAGGTGCTGAGCAGGACATGTCATCTTCCAAGAGTTTACAATGTATATGTGCGTGTTGGTTTGTTTTTGTAAATAACATTTTAAGACCATCACAATTAAGGGTTGTTCAGATCTTATGCTTTTATAAATTTCTGTAAGGAAAAAAACATGCATTATTAGAGTGACTTTTACTAATTGACTGGTATCATTGGAAATGTTCTCTTGAAAATGGTGGTCCTGTAAATTTTTGTTCCAGTGATTAATGCAGTGTATGAATGATTCCATGGAGACTTGGTGTTTGCTAGATGCATTCTTCTCAGAAAAATACCTGTAAGCCGTATGTCCTGGGGAAAAAGTTTGGAGATTGCAACAGAAGCAAAGCAGGCAAATTCTAGGCGTTTCATTTAAGGCTGAACACACAGATGCCCATTTGTGCTGGGAACACTTCTGTCTTGTGTCCTTGTGTCTTTATGTCAAATAGTGGCATCTTTGTGTAATCTGCGTGGGTAGAGGAATAATTTCCCTGTGTTAAAAATCTTCCCTGCTTTTGGTCCTAAATAATAATAAATAAATAAGTAGTGTTTATGAGTAGCATGTTAGTGAAACAAAATACAACCAGAGACTTAGAAATTAAAAAAAAAAAAAAAAAATACTTGATACTTGTATTTACTTATTTTATGGTGTTTGCTTTCATATTGAGGTGAATATGTGATATCATCAGTTATTGATGTATATTTTCTTCTTGCTCAACTCCATCGTATCTGAAGATGGGACAGAGCTCAGAATACTGGTGTGAGCTGGTGTGGAGGTTACAAAGAGTGTGTGTGTGCGTACTGCGTATTTTTGCCAGCTATGTATTGAGTGTACCCCTAAGGTACAGGTTCGTGAGTTGTCTTTTGTATTTTATTCGAGTGGCACAAAGGGACAAAGAAATGAGGTAGTGGTTAATTGCAGCAGCCAGTATCCCCTAAGACAGGGTACCACGTTTGATTAACGTGGCTGTAACTGACTCTCTTTTGTAACCTCATGGATGGATACCAATCACAGTGTGCTTGCCTTGCTGTAGAGAAACCAAACCAGGAACCCTGGGCCTCCTTCATTTTAAGGGCAAATTGCCCCGACAGACGAGTGTAGGAGATGCTGCCTCGTCTCGAGCTCCTTGTTACCCTCCCTAGCTGCACAAAGGGTCATTGCTTCTTTCATTTCGCTGGTACTAAACTTCCTTTTTTTAAAAAAATTATTTCTTAAAAACCCAACAAAATCAATTGAGTTCACAAAGGTTACTTAACACGGGCTTGTGCAAACACATCCCCATTCCTTCTGCCCACGCTTTGAACTAGCTGGTAGTGAGCTCGCTTCACACCAGAAGGCCATATGGCCGTACTGGCGCTGCGTTGAGCCTCGACTAATAAGCCCTACCGAGATACAAGACACAGGCACCGTGTACTGAGCTAAAACAACTTGGTGACTTCTGACCAAATCTGGCTCTTGTCCAGCCAGCTTGGAGTGTAAGCAAAGAGCATATACGTCCATATGGAACAGCATGAAGTTCTGCGGCGTATCGCAGATGATACCCTCTGCTTCTCTAGCCTCAGATAATGGAGGTTGTCCCGGCCTGAATAAAGGGTGTGAATTCCTTTCTGCTGAGGGGAGCTCGGAGGCCATCTGATGCTGAGCGTACGTAACGTGGGAACGTACGTGTAAAAGTGGGCTTTGTCTGCTCTGGCTTCGTGCCACCCGGATCTGTTTGGAAAACTTGGGATGTTACCTAAAGGCTAAACTTCTTTAGGATGGTGTAAAATCTGTGTTCGAGCATGATTTTTGTTAGAACACTTAC